GTGCATTACAATTTTCTCTTCTAGTTCTATGGCTCCTCCCTCACACGCCACGGACGCAGACTTCCCTGGTAGCTGCGGTTCTGACCTTCATCACATCCGTTGGCCTACTGTTCCTATCCCATTTGGAACACCTATATTCTGTGCAGCCATCTTCCCTTCTGAATCTTTTCCTATCATGGACAATTGTCTTTGATGCCGTACGTGCAAGGAGTCTGTGGCTGTCCTCATATACTGTGCTTGCCGCTCTCTATATAGCGAGCATTGCAGTCAAGCTGCTCTGGTTCTTTCTGGAGACGAAGCCAAAACTGGCCTATTTCGTCAACAAACATATGCAATATGGCGACGAGGAAACCAAAGGCTTTTATAACCGAGCCTTCTTTTGGTGGGTTAATCCTCTGCTTCTGCTCGGGTTCAAGCAGACAATATCTGTCGAGGAACTGCCGTACCTTGATCGAGCTCTTTCTGCGAACGAATTACATCGGAAGTTTTCCACCCAATGGTCTTCGAGTAAGTAGCAGCCAAGGTTTAATTTCCGGAGTTCGCTGACCAGTTTCAGTGTCGAAAACGTATGAAAATGCATTAGCCTATTGCGCTGCCCGCACATTCAGAGCTTCGGTCTTTTACTCTTTTCTGTCGAGGCTGATCAGAATTGGTCTGGATTATACGCAACCTTTCTTGATATCCAGATTAACCATTTATGTTGGCCAGAAGGATTCTAGTAAAGGCGATGGTTATGGCCTGATTGGTGCATTTGCGCTGGTCTTCATTCTCAAAGGCGTATGATATTACTCCCTCCTCTAGAACTCTATTCTGATGAATTCCATACAGGTCATGAACTGTCTATATGAGCACTATATATTTCGCCTTATAACGCAAATACGCGGCGCTCTCGTATCTGCCATCTATGACAAGACACTTGAGCTGAAATACGACGAGTACACTGACTCAGCAGCGCTGACTCTAATGAGTAATGACATAGATAACATTGCATCGGGAATCCAGAATGTGCATGAGGTCTGGGCGAGTCCCATAGAAGTGGGCATTGCACTATACCTGCTGCAGCGTCAGCTAGCTTGGGCTGCTACAGTTCCTGCCGTCCTTTCTATCCTGGTCTTCTGTTGCACTCATTTCTTGTCGAAGTCTGCACCGGGAAGGCAGAAGGTATGGATGCAGGCTGTCCGTGAAAGAGTTGCATTTGCTTCGAGTTATCTCGATGCGAGTGTAACTATCAAGATGCTTGGCCTTCAGGATCATTTCTCTAGAATGCTACAGCAACTCCGCATTGACGAGCTTGATCGACAGTCGAAATTTCGCCACCTGATGGTGAAAATGAATTTGCTCGGTAAGTTCAGTCTGAGTGCGAATATTTTGCCAGATTGAATTCATGAGACTAATTTTGTTTTTAGCGGGCACAACAACCAACCTCAGCCCTGTTCTCACACTCAGCCTTTTTACTGGTGTTGCACTCCATACCGGACGAAGTCCATTGTCAGTGGCTCAAACGTTCTCATCTCTGTCAATAATTTCTCTATTAAGCGGTCCTTTGTCAAACCTGGTCTATTCCGGCCCAAAAGCTAGTGCAGCCTTGGAATGCTTTCAGAGGATCCAAACTTACTTGCTGGCAAGCCCCAGGCTTGATGATCGAGTTACATCGCAAGGCCATCATAAATTCTCCAAGCATGAAAACTGGGCTGATATTAACGCCAAGGGGACAGTGTCCATTGAGCTTGAGCCATCAAGACCATCGGATCGAGGCCCTGTGCATGGGTCTGTCGCAGTTGAGTCGGACATACTGCATATCCACCAGGCTGACTTTGGCTGGGGTCGCAGTTCACCAGCTACATTGCAGAACATTGAGCTGAGATGCCCCCCTTCATCGCTTACCATGATTACTGGGGCCGTTGGATCAGGAAAGAGCACGCTGCTTCAGGCAATTCTCGGTGAGGTTCCCTGCATGAAGGGCTTCATTTACAGCAATGTTTGCGAAATATCTTTCTGTAGCACCAAGGTTTGGATTCGCAATAGATCTATACGTGATAACATCTGCCAACCCTTGCCTTTTGATGAGCAATGGTATCGAACAGTGCTCTATTCGACAGCGCTCGACCAAGACATTGAGAGCTTTGCCCACAAAGATCACACAATCATTGGCAGCAATGGTATGGCAACTAGTGGTGGACAAAGACAACGGATTGCTATTGCCCGTGCTATCTATGCACGCAAGCAGTTAGCTCTTTTTGATGACGTTTTAAGTGCTCTGGATGCGAAAACTTCAGAGCAAGTTTTCCAGCGCGTTTATGGGGCACAGGGCATACTGCGTCGTCATGGAGTTTCTGCTATCTTAGCCACTCATGACCAGAAGCTTCTTGCCTTTGCTGATAATGCTGTCTTGCTTCACAACGGAGTTATTACGGAACAAGGTCCTCCGCAATTGCTCCAATTACAGCATCCATCGGATGGATTAGCAGCCACTTCACGCTCAACCGACGAGCACCAAGTAGCATTGCCAAACCAGGCAGCTCCAGGCATTGCGTTTTCCAATGCTGACGATATGAACAGGAAGACAGGCGACCTGAGTATATATGCATACTACCTCCGAGCTGCCGGCCCTTGGCATGTCTCAATCTATTTTGTATCCTTGGTGACAGGAGTGTTCTGCTCTCAATTCCCCAGTAAGTCTACCTGCCTTCATTGTTTACTTTCACTGATAAAGAAGCAAAGATCTTTGGGTCCAATGGTGGGGAGAAGAAAATGCTCGGACGCCGTTCGGAAGGCTTGCCCTCTATATCAGCGTATATGCTGTTCTGGCCACTGTAGGAGCTGCACTGTGGGCATGGTGCATGTGGCTGGTCTTTTGCCGCATTGTCCCGACGTCCTCCAACCGGCTCCATGATTATCTGGTGATGAAGGTTAACAAGGCTCCTTTGCATTGGCTCACCTCCACAGACAGCGGTATCACCCTGAATCGCTTCAGTCAGGACATGACTCTAATTGACCGATCACTTCCTGCTGACTTTCTTAAAACATCGCGGAACTTCACACAATGTTTAATGAGCGCTGTCTTCATCTGCGTTGGTGCTAAATATATGGCTCCTCTGATCCCCCTATCAGCCATTGTGGTTTACTCGATCCAGAAGTTCTACCTCCGAACATCACGACAACTTCGCCATCTGGATCTTGAGAGCAAGTCACCACTGTACACCCAATTTACCGAGACGCTAAATGGACTTGTCACCATACGCGCGTTTGGCTGGCAAGACAGCTTCCGTGAAGAACATCAAGAACTGCTCCAAAGATCGCAACGTCCCTACTATATGCTGTTTGTCATACAGCGGTGGCTTATCCTTGTTCTAGATCTTTGTGTTGCCGGTATTGCAATCTTGCTAGTAATACTCGCTGTCTTTGTGCGCGAGATTGGGCCAATAGGTGTTTCGCTCATCTCTCTAATCACATTCAGCCAGCAGCTGTCGGAATTGATCAACTTCTGGACATCCATGGAGACCAGTATTGGTGCGGTCACACGTATCCGCAGTTTTCAGAAGGTTCCCTCAGAGGACCTTCCTGGAGAGGAAGCAGTTCATCGTGCAGATTGGCCATCAGCCGGCCACATAGCTTTCCAAAATGTCAGCGTAGGCTACGAGCTGGACTCTCCGCCTGTTCTTCAACAACTAACACTGACCGTCCCTGCTGGTTCCAAGCTAGGGGTATGCGGGCGTTCTGGAAGTGGGAAAAGCTCTCTACTTCTTGCCATTCTTCGCATGGTGGAGATACAAAGTGGTGATATTAGTATTGATGCCGTGAGTCTACAGTCATGCCCTCGGGACTTCATCCGCAATCAAGTTACAGTGATACCTCAAGAGCCCGTCCTCTTCCGGGGCACTATCCGTGACAATGTCACTGGGTTCAACCCCATGAATGATGAAAATGTCCTCAATGCACTACAAAAAGTGCAACTGTACGATCATGTCCAGAGCTCCGGGGGACTCAATGCTAAGATCGATCAACTCCCCTTATCAGCCGGCCAGCGACAGCTCATTTGCCTCGCTCGAGCTATTGTTAAGAAGAGAAAGATCTTGCTGCTGGACGAGGTCACAAGTCGGGTGGATAATGAGACAGATTCCTTAATGCAAGAGGTAATCCGCACTGAGTTTGCAGGCTGCACTATTATTGCAATTGCGCATAGGGTTTCTACCCTTCTGGATCACGATCAGATTGCTGTCATTGATGGAGGTAAGATGGTTGAATATGGCACACCTAGTAAGCTTTTGGAAACATCGGCCTCGCTTTTTCGGCAATTGTATGATCAGCAGATGTCCAGGGCGTGATGACGCTACGAGTATAAATCTTATGTTAGTGCCTGCCGGTATGGGCTACGGCGGAAGATACTCGAGGGCATCAGAGACACCGGGAGCAGACTGGGAGAGGGGAGCGCATCCTTTTCAGAATTACCCAATATCAAGGGTTTGACTGTGTGTTCAATATCCGATAATATGACGGGCAGCACAATATGTGCAAAGCTCATACGCACACCTTGGAAGACAAATAGCAACATAATTGGGAATTGGAATTTCAATAGTGCAGAAATAATCTCCAAGCATCAGATGACAGTAATAGAGTGATTTGTCGTTGCACCATCCTGCCAAATCAGGTAAACCCGCTGACAACGTGACCGGCACCGTGCAACCTCGAGCAACCTCGAGCAACCTCGAGCAACCTCTTGCTTCTCTTTGCCTTTCCTCTCTCCACAGCAACATATGAAATTGTGCAATTATTTACTATATTGAAGCTTTCTCGAATTATAGCTCGTTGATACTTCTTCATTAATGGCTGAATTATCGCCAATGCTATCCTGATGTCCATATTGAGTACCCACGCTGAAAACAAATTACCCGCAACATACTAGACAAACGCCATTGGATCACCTGGGGAATAAGGAAATTGTCACCAGAAAACGCACAAACACCTTGAAAACACGGATTTGATCAAAGAATAGCCGCTGTCTACGCCATGGACAGCTTAAAGTCAGCGTTATTGCTTCTTACCGTCACGATTCCGGTCTTCCGGACTTGGTCGTTTGCTTTCCCAAAGTATCGACCCGATCGGAAGCTACAGAATTATCATGAGTATCCTGGGTAACAATGATCACTTCTCAGCACCTACCTCCAATGAAGATTGGCGCGAACGACATTCTGCACGCCTCGGATATATTCTTGAACGTCTGCGTCGATCCGCTCCCCCCAGGTTGGCAGTGCCGCCAAAGCGAGGTACCAGTCTCGGTAGCGCTCAATGAGCATTTCGCCCACATGGTTAAATGCCACCTGCGCTGGCATGCCATTATGACGGCAGATGGCCACTAAGTTATGGCTTACACCTTCTTTCTGTATCCCTTTGTGAGTCGTGCGTGATCGAGCTTGTATTGGCAGGTAGAAAACTAACCTCTTCCTTGCAGTATGAAAGTATGTCATTTTGCCTGGGATATATTAGTTCGGTCAGATGTGGGGGTTTGGGGCGGCATACAGTAACACAAGGTCAGTACCGATCCTCTCTATCTCCTGGATGCTCTTGCATTCAAAAACATGTTCTGGGATGTCTAGTTTGTGGGCATATCTGCAATATCCCTGGAGTTAGTGCCGATCGCAGGCCAGCAGAAGTGATAACATACTCTACTAAGGCGAAGAGGGGCGAAACGCCTGCAGACTGTCTGCGCAACGAGAGCATCTCTTCAAGCGAGGGCAATTCCCCCTTGGAGCATGAGCGTACTTGGGCCAAGCATCCAGTGCAGTAGTCATTCATGGCACGTGCAAACCTGCGACGAATTCCTTAGACAACGTTAGCAGATGTCCTAGAGTATGTGGAAGAACTAAGCGCTACATACCGATAGGTTGGGCCTACAATACCGTTAGACGTCAATGAGCACTCCCAGGACAGTATAATGATCAACGTACCTGAGTGATTCGATGCCATACTGAGTTGTGCACCTGTACTATGGGGTAGTCTGAGAGCACTGGTCTCTGCCCAGTTTCGTCGGCCATGCCTGCTCGCAAATCCTCAACAAGCACTTGGGCCCGTTCCGGATCATCCTTGAGGCTTCCATTATCGAATACTAACATCGAAGCTCAGCTATCATACACAGTCATTCCGAAAGGATGGTGCTTACGGTCATCAAAAGGGAACACCTGCTCGACAACATCGATTAGATTTAGTCAGTGAACCTTTGTGTGGTGTCGGTCATGGGCAATGAACGCACCCAGTTTCCCCAATCGATAACTGTCCGCAACTCCTCGGGCTCAGCATCTGGAGCTGCTATGGAGCAGAAATAAGCGAAGTCCGTCTTTTGTAGTCGCCTCTGGGCTCTTTCATCGAAGTAGCATTCTCTATAATGACGGTGGTCTAGTCAGAGAAAGGCCGTGCCGACTTTAGGGGGTCATATGCACCTTGAGATCCATGCTTCTGACAGCTCTTTCACACACTTATAGTGTCGGTTTACTGTTGGTTCGCCTGACAAGAACAACACGAACATTTCGGGTAGGCGGATGGATAGAGAAGTATCTCGCCGGGGTGTCTTGACCGTGGGCGAAGATACACTCTGCTGGACTCTTGTGACGGCCATCTTCAACTGACACGAACTGTGATGATATAGACGCAATATGGAGGAAAGCAATGAATCGATCGCTGTTTATATGAAAGCGATGTGGATCTGGACAGCACGTCTACAGGTGCCAATGCATGGTACTTTATATACAGACGAATGCTTCGACCTACTTTTGGAACCGTACGAATGGCCAGGATGATCCTACAATTGACCTCCTTGTTCAAGGCCCAGACTTCGGGCTTTGGTGACGACCTGGGCCCACAGGATCGTCCAGCCTCAGAATATCGTTTCCCGGTAATCGAATTTCAATGGCGCCAAACAAAAGGATTAAGGTTTCCAATTGATAACATGCAAAACCCGGAAGTTAGAAAAAATAATGGCCTCTGTTATACATCATTTTAGGTCTGCAAAAGTCTAGCGCTACTCAGCCCGAGGAGCTAGTGCCTTGGGGTTCTCCGCCGCCGGAGCTGAAGGCTCCTCAAGAGCAATGGCCAGTCGTCCACCAAAGCGCGGTATGAGTTCGACGATCCCTGCCCGAATACGTCTAGAGCATCCATTTGGGGCCTCAGGATCTTGACTTTTGATCGGCCCGGAAGCCGGATCTCTCCCCGGTTTCCGGGATTTAGCACGGTCTCCCCATCTTATTCTTGGAAACCTCTCCCGGGAGATTGGCTAACCTGCATGCTAGGACGATTGGGCATCATGACAACGGGGCCCAAGAACATTGATTAGCGCCTCCAGGTCTGAGAGCTGGTACAGCTTGTTGCTTTTTCCCTTGCCCTTGATTTCTCGCCGGCCTGTCCATTGATTACCGGTCTGGCCATGGTGGGAACGAGCACATCTGATCGTGATCATACCATTGGCCTACTCTGCTGGGGCGCCGCAGTGGGTCCCACGAGGTGTCTCGCCTCGCAGCCACGGGACTGGGCTCGAACATCCGCCCGGAGCACGATGCATCGTTAGTAGCTTTCACTAGACATCATGTCCCAAAAGGATGGGTGAACGTGAGGGGTGGCCCAGAACCAATTGCTTTTGTCAGGTAACACTGGCGGAAGGCAGGCCCGGTACATGGAGTGGCCACTGTTGTCGCTCAGCTCCATGAGCTCTATAGTTTGTCGATTCCTAGCTTGGTATCTTGGAATGCGGTATAAAATGCGGGTGAAAGGCGCAATGGACCGACTATCAATTTCTAGGCATTGGCCTATTAGACACCTAGTTGCACTCGATATTTGCAAGCATTGCTCGTTGATTCTTCAATATGGTCTCCTCTCTACACCCACACGTTGGTGACAGAATCAGTAGCTGGGGCTACTCCTTCTCCTGGACAAAAGACCATCTCTCCAAGGAAGAGTTAGAGCCATTGCGCCAGCAGTATGATAGCTCTGCGGCTAACGCACTGGAGAGGCTACAAGCAATTCGGGCTACCCTGGTGGAAGAAAGCAAAACAAAGGGGACAAGCGCACCACCTAATGATCTTTACGTCCTCTTACGGGACCACCGGGGGGATGACGATATCCTGGCCAAGTTCTGGACCGAAGTGAATACTGTGCCTGAGTGGGTGGATTGGGAGCAGCTACAACGCGGCCAGCAATTTTTCTATCGCTATGCCATTGCCAATATTGTGGGGTTCGCTTTGCAAGGGTTTGTGGCGGAAAACTCGGTATGTTCTTAATTGCACAACTATAGGCAAGAGACGAGGAAGCTAATGATGCTCATCAGGCGGCACCTGGGGTTGTCGAGGTCCTTGTCCGAACAGGAGGCTTCTCCACCCGTATGCTTTTGGGCAGATTGCTCGAGACCTTCCAGTGGCTGATCCAGGTCACCCATTGTATTGAATCAATTCGCCCCGGCGGCGAAGGGCACATCGCCAGCGTCCGGGTCAGATTGCTCCATGCCTCCGTCCGCCAGCGCATCGTTCAGCTCTGTCGAACCAGGCCGGACTACTTTGATCTGGCACGCTTTGGAGTACCGGTGAATACCCTGGACTCGGTCCACTCCATCAGCACCTTTTGTTGCAATCCTATGTGGCTTCAACTACCCAAGTTTGGCATCCAGCCTACTCCGGATGAGGTCAAGGACTATATTGCGCTCTTTCGGTACCTGGGCTTTCTCCTTGGAACGCCCACATCGTATTTTGAAACGGTGGAGCGGAGTAAATGCACTATGGAAAGCCTTCTGGCGCACGAGCTCCGCACCACTGATACGTCGCGAACGGTGGCGTTTAACTTTGTGGAATGCGTGACGAACTTGCCAGGGCCATTCAAGGTCTCCAAGGGATTCATCGAGGCGGGCAGTCGGTGGATCAATGGCGACGAGCTGTGTGATGAACTGGAACTTGGCAAACCAGGACTCCTGTTCTATCTGGCGTTTTGTGGGTATTGTGCACTAGTGGTAGCTATGGCGTGGGTCCAGCGGCTATTTCTCAGTTTGGATGAACTACTGATTGCTGTAAGGTGGAATCTTATCTTTATCAGTGTGCACGGTTACTGACTCTGGACAGGGGTTCCGAGGTCTGCTGTATGGTGGAGTGGTCCAGCGAAAGTCACGCACTCGTTTCGAGTTCAGATATGTGCCCCGAATCGGGAAGCAGACAGGGAAAGAAGCATACAGGGGTGGTGATGCGGCTACGACAAAGGCTTCCTGGGTTGCCCACCCGGTGTGGACGATTCCCATGAAATGCCTGGGAGTGGGCTTCTTTGAGATGGTGCTTCTCGTGATACTTGGTGTTTCTGGAGTGGTGATAGTGGGAGGTGCGCTCGGAGTCATGCAGAGGGTGCATAGGTATTACAAGGTGCATGCATAACATGCTGGACGGTGATGACGGGTTCATGCGAGATGATTTGACTATGACTATGTTGATTTTGACATTTATGAGAACAACAACAATAATAGAATTAACTATGCGCATGGTATATACCCCGGTTCATTCCTCCATTGAGTGTCCTACATGTAACGAAACGGTTAGTATGAGTGGTAAAAGCGAAGCTGCCGTGTGATTCGCAGGGATTTAATCAAAGGCAGGTGACCAAAATGGCCAAGTCAAAACTCCCAACAAAGAAACCCTTGACCGGCACACGACCGTGCCCTCAACAGGGCAAGAGAAATACCTAATTAGATACTTTAGGCCAGAAACTAGTACTTACTGACTACCTACTAAAGTTACTGAATGATTGATTGATTGATCGCTGGCCCAAAGCTAAGGATTGCGCTAAGAGAAAATCCGTGGGGTAAGATCCCTGCTACTTGCATCTGGCGGTAGATCCTTTTCGATGATGTCTATCCCTCACTAAAGGAAGAAAGAAAAAAGCAAATATAGCACTATGCGCCGGTCCTTCAGCGCTTCCCGGTTTTCGTCAGACTGAAGCGAGAAAAAAAGAAATTAGATGGGAGGAAGAAGGAAAAAAGCAAGTCTACAATTCCTCCGGTAAATCGCCATCTCTTCCGCTCCCGAGATTAAAATCAAAAAAAAGAAAAAGACGATGTATCAATTCCATCATCCTGGTTGTGCCCGATAAATACGTACTACGGACTGGTACTTTTCCACCATGCCCATCGAAAGATACTAAGTACTTGGTTTGGTTTCTTCCTCGAGGGAAATGAGGCGCGCTAAAGAAGGCCCGATCCACTCGGAAACTTAATCCCCCTCGTGTTGCTGTTGCTGCTGCTACTGCTACTGTTTTGCGTGGTTTTGTGTCTGTTTCTGTTTCTGTTTCTCATCCACCCAAATAAAAAGTACAATCTGAGGGCTAGTCGGAGATTCCTTCCGGAGTGATTATGATGATGTATACTTTCCAACAAGTACGACTGACTTCGCCTCAATTTCAGTCCTATTATTCAGTGAATGCATCTGTCACCGACTCCCGGAATAGGGTTGATATCATATAGTACTATACGATGTTGACAAAGTACTGTACTCTCTACACCGGTACTCTTCATCATCTCCTCTGTCTCCACTTTGTTTATCGGTCTATCTGTGGCAATTCCTTTCTTGGGAACCAGATTTGACCCCAAAGTACGATGTACTTCGTTTCATCAGTTCTAGGCCGTATATGAAAGTAAGTAGATTCACTAAGTACCTACCTAACCTACATACTACAAAGTATCTACCTAACTATACTTATCGGAGGTGTTGCCTATCTTGGATAGTTGGAAACAATTCCTCCCATCCATCCATCCACCCATCCATCCATCCATTCGTTCAGTTAGCCTCGGGTGGAGGCTTATCCCTCGTTCAATTTTCCTTTTCCATCCCGGATATGGTCGTTGCCGAGATGAACTACGATTTAGTTAGGAACTAGTACTATTCCCGGAGACTCGGTGGTGGGTGGCCCTAATCTGCCGCCCGCACGATTGAGTTATGGTGGCTGTGTGTGGCGCATTGGTGATCCTCGCTTTTTCCTTTTTCTTAATGTCGTATGGTCTTTTTTGTGTGGGAGTGTCAATGGAGGTGGTGTGTGGGAAGGTTGGAGGTGTTTGTGATCCGTGCGGTGTAGATGGTAGTCTGGTTGAAGGGATGATGATAAGATGGGATGAACCTTGTTGCTTTGTTGAGCGGGGGGAGGGGGGTGTGATTGATCTCAAAGTTTAGAGGGTATGAGGCTTACTAGAATACTGGTATACTAGTATACTGCTAAGTAAGTCACAGGTTAGCATGGATGGTGTAGGTGGCTACAGGGGTTCATTGTAGACGGATGCGGAAACAAAGGATTTAGTTTCATGGCGAAGAGTATAGATGAGTGATGATTCATGCACGAGATAACCGATAACAGTATGATTCGGACAAAGGGGAAGGAATTGGAGATAGTAGCAAGTATAGGATGTGCCAAGTTGAGTGTTGACTTGATTCAGACACATTTCCACTTTTTTCCCTTTATTTTCATTATTTATTTTTGTCAGTTCATATCCTGGATTACACGGCGGAAAACTCTCGGCACTGACTTACTTCCTTTAGTCATGTCTACTCTACAATATCATGTATGTATCTCCTTATGGCAATTCAGTTACTTTGCAAGTACTTGGATATCCCCTGTCAAGTTTTCCCAAGTTCAAGTCACAATAATTTTGGGGGCCAGAGCCAGAGAACGTGTCACTTTCATATTGATTGGGGCTTTTTTTTTTTTGTCCGGCCATCTCGGGACCCATCAGTTCTAGTTCAGATTCCCCGTCCAGGATATCCCTGACAAAGAAGATCATGTCGGAGGGATCAATTGATTACTGTCTTGGGACGCGTACAGATATGGTCCCATTCTTTTCCTTTTAATTTCTTTTTTTTCCTTTTCCCTCCCTGTTTCTCTTTCGGTATATTGTTCCGTGTGTTGCGTATGTGTGTGTGTCTGAACTATGCGACTTGCAGATAGATACTACTAAGCAGTAGTAGTACTAGACTTTAGGGCGAGGATAGAAGTGGATACTCAACAACAACAACCACCACCACCAGACAAAGAGAAGTTTCGCTGTGATCATGATCGTGTGTGATCTGACTGACAGCTGCCAGTTGGCCTGAATGACTGATGGGTCGGGCCGAGTGGAGTCATTTTTTTCTTTCTTTGTTTCTTTCTTTTTATCTTTCTTGCTTGCTTGACTTGGTCGTTATTGTGCGACATGCCTGGTTTGGGAATGTTGCAGGATTGCTTTTTCCCCTTCTTGGGGTGAGTACATGTTTCTTTGTTCGAATTGTGCAGGATTTCGGGGAGTGTGCTATACTATGGTGCGGTGGTTATGGTTATGGTTATGGAATGGAATCTGTGGTAGGTAGTAGTAGATAGTAAGTAGATGCCAGTTAGGGTAGAAAGTGTATTGGTGGATTAAGGTGAGGCTGAAATATATGCTAGCATTGTTTGCTACGGAGTAGTAGATAGTGACAGTAGTACTACTATACTTTCCTTCAAGGAAACTGGGAACTGCCAGTTACTATCCAATAATACTGGATGTGATTACCACACTACTAGAGGATGCTGAGATACTGAGCACATCTTGCCATGAGCATCCTTTAGTGTCTATCTACCTTCTAGTCAATCCTCTACGGTAAGTTACGCTGAGAACCATGGCCCTAAGGTGTCGTCCATATCGCTGACTACTGTTCCTGGATACCTACCCTTATCAAGAGAATGTCTCTCTCGATGAAATAGCCCTTGGACTAGAATAGCTTTCTCAGTTTCGGCATTATTGCCTCTCTACGAGCATCAATGACTCGTTTTTTTTGTTGCGAGGCTGAAGTACTTGAATACACAGGAGCTTGCTGACGGTTTGTTTGGAGTCCCTTAGGGCATCGGATGTGGTGGTCGAAATGGTTGATGCACTTCAATTTCTTGAAAGCCTATTATGGAGTTAAAGACTCTTCCCCCATTCAATAAATTATCTGATCAATCTCTACCTCTCCATGATCAATTTGTATAGCACATACCGAGTAGACAAACGAGAGAAAAAGGCAGTGAAGACGGCGGGGCAACAACACCAGGGCGGCCCGTGCAAAGAATTTCTCCAGAGCTCGGCCGGCTCTCCCTCTTCCTCCCACAACTTCCCTCGTGGCCTTTCTACCTCTTTACCCCCCTTTTCCCCATCCCCACTATCAGATATCCTTCGCACAATGGCAATCCAGTGAGTCCCTCATCGGCTACTGAATTGGCCGGAAATGCGCTAACCTCTCATTTTCCCAGCTACTTGATTCTCCTGTCGAGGCAGGGCAAAGTGGTTCGTTTCGTGGCCCACCCAACTCTGTGACCTGGCTGGAAGCGGAGACTAACAAAACAAAATTTCCCAGCGCCTTGCCAAATGGTTCACCACTCTCTCCCCCAAGGAGAAGGCCAAGATCATCAAGGATGTGACCCAGCTGGTTCTGTCGCGTCGCACCCGCATGTGCAATTTCCTCGAATACAAAGGTTCGTCCGAATCATTTTCACCCCTCACTTGGATACCTCCCCCGCAGCTCGCCCACTCGCCCGATCGGACTGTATCTGACTTGCTTCTTCTTCGTCGTCGCCAGACACCAAGGTCGTTTACCGTCGCTATGCCTCCCTCTTCTTCATCGCCGGTTGTGCATCCACCGATAACGAATTGATCACCCTTGAGGTCGTGCATCGTTACGTCGAGCAGATGGACAAGTACTACGGCAATGTGTGCGAGCTGGATATCATCTTCAACTTCCAAAAGGCATACTTCATACTCGATGAGCTGTTGCTGGCGGGAGAAATGCAGGAGAGCAGCAAGAAGAATGTCTTGAGGTGCATCAGCCAGCAGGACAGTCTGGAAGACATGGAGGTGAGTCGATAGCGTCTATTGTTTTACAACACCCAGCCCCCCCTATTTGGAACATGAGCACGGAATACCTGTCTTCGGAGCGTCCAATTGCTACGTTTCTTTTTCCGACCCGCCCCTTTTTATACCTGCGAGGTCCCGACATCATGATCAATTCTTGCGGCCACCTTGTCCCCTCCCCACAACATCGTTTCCTCCCGCCCTGCCCCCTCAACCAATTACTTCATCTCAGCGAGCCATACCATCATCTTCTGTCGACGTCAGCTAATGCCGCCTCAGGTTGAGGAAGACGTGGTCACGAAGATTATGTAGACGCCTCTCCGGCCCGCGAGCGTTTCTTTGTTGTTTATACTGTTTGGGATGTTCGTTTCTGTTTCTGGGGCAAGCTGGACTGCTATACATACTGGCGTTGGACGTACATAAGCGTTGTGTTCTACTGTCTCGCGACTTGTTGCCAAGAACTAATTAATACCACCATGACTACATTCAGGATTCCAAGGAAGTCGTCAATCATTTAGCCAAGGAAGGGCTCCTGTGAGGGGATTCACAGAATGGACGGATCATCCGGGAGAATAATGGATGATTCCGCACTTTGCCTCATTATCTGGGCTGGTTGGCCATCCTTGGTTCAGTGCGCAACCCGTGAGGTGGGTGCGTGATATCACTGGCCCGACCTACGCCACGTGACTGGGGGCTCCCCCCTCGGGGCGCAGCGCGCATCCCCCATCCCCCCCAAGACCAGTCGTCGCTCTATCGCGCTGTCCATCTCCCATTCCTTCCCTGAGTCTTCTTCCATCTCCTTCCGTCTCATCTGCATCTGATATGGCGACTTGGCTCTCCATACTCACCTATTAACTCACCCATTCTTCGCTCCTGTGTTGCCACCGTAGCAACGGTTCCACTCGCCAGCTCATTCACTCTTATCGCCGGATTCGTGACGTCTCAGGAGACTACGACCCCGGTTTATTTGAACCCAACTGCTGCGACAATTGCTCTGATCTGCTTGTCGCATCACCTTGTGTCTTGATCACCGACCACGGTGTTCTCCGCTTATCTATCCTCACGCCTTATCGTAATCAGCGACTGCTACACCGCAACTCTGGCTGAAGATGAAGGTATGCAATCTAGCCCTATTGCGCCGCTGCAGCCTCCCCTAGAGTGGCCTGATACTTACCGTGCCTTGTCTTTTCTAGTTTCTTCCTTTGCCCGAGTTCGAAGACGTGACGAGTTCTCTCAATTTCGACACTGCCGATTGTCACATTGTTGGGGGATGCGATCTGTACACTACAAAGGCTGCTCGAGCCGATCGGAAACTGTACAAGAACATTGAACAGTCGCTTGAGTCTCAATATGAATCGGTTCTCCGTCTCTCAGCTTCACTGTCACCTCCCAACGCATCGGACGCGGCCGCCTCGCTCAACCTGTCCCGGTCGAGTCCTTTCGGTCCCCTGAGCGACCACTCCAGTCGACGAACATTTGCCTATTTGATCGCGACATTAAATGCCAGTCATCCGGATTATGACTTCTCCCATGTGCTGCGCCCATCAGACTTTCATCGTGAACGGAATCTGAAAAGGGTTATGAACACGATCGATTCAACATTGTTCAATCTTCGGCCACGCGAGGCCATTGATCTGACACCTCCATCCCCCGTGACGATATCGGGTTCCTACAATGCGGGCGCGTCTTCTACGTGGGGGCCGAGAATGTGGAGGGTGATCGATGAACATATGTCTCTTAAGGAGTGCTCCCTCTATTCGTTTTCGCCGGATGAGGATCCGTCGGATGCGGACGATGGAGCAATCTGGAGTCTTCATTACTTCTTCTTCAACCGACTACGGAAACGCGTCTGTTATCTGTATCTACGAGCGATCCCAATCCTCAGCCACACGCCCAGCGAAGGACTTGCCACGCCGACAACGAAGAGAACGTACGACGACGGATACTTGACACCAGAACTTGGCTCGAGCAAGCGGGCTCGCTACTGGCTGGGTGAGGGTATTGAACTCGAGAGCGAAAGCGACGAGGAGCCCAGTGGGTCGAAACCCGCGCATCCAGTCGTGGACGAATACGACCACTACCTGCTCAGCGATGAGGAGTTTCGCTCCCGATCGGGCAGCAAGGGCACCGTTCGGGCCATGAGCGAGGAAATCGCCGACTCGATGGAGGTCTAATCCTCCCCTCCCTTCTGCCTTACCTGTTTATTCTTCACTTTCAACCAACCCGGGCCCTTCTTGTTGCCATTTACTTGGCCGTTTTGCTCAGTTGCTTGTTCTCGTTTGGTTTGATTGCTCGGCGTAATTGTGTTCTTGTCTGCTGCATTCAACCTGCATTTGCACCGGCTAGGGGCGTTATACTCGGCAACCGGAAGGAAGGGAAGGAAAGCCCCTAATTGTAATTGAACGGCTGTTGGTCTAATGATGATGATGACGACGAACGACGTGCTGCGTCACGGCAATCCGATGCGGCGCTCAAGGGCAGGTTCCACAACGGCGGGCGTTGTCATTCTTCTGTTTCCTTCCTGTATTTATTACAAATTGACATTTCACTCTCTTAATTTGATCCACTACGAGTAGACAGAAAGAAGAAATAGCTATTTATAGATCAGACCAGCTATTCAGTAATCAAACAGTATTAACATAACCAGACAACGAAGCGGCGCGACAACAAGCCGTCGTTTTCCTATATAACTATTACTATAAAAATTGGAACTTTACCATTTTTGTTGATAAGATGAATTCAATAGAATATATAGATTCTTATATATAAATTAATAATAAATTACTTATAAAATCCTTCAAAAGATATATTAAATATAAAGATATATAAATATTAAATCTTTATATATGTTTTTATAATATAATGAACACACCGCTTACAGTCTACTAAAGCTAGTTTAATTATAAATAGTACTGTACTCTATGCTGTATTATAAAGTAATTTTATTGAAATTTAGAATAGAATCTTCTAATATTAGCTTTATATAACTTACTCTACTATTTGGTTATTCTTAGATCTGAATATCTAAATAATTGATGAAGTTTCAATTTTTATAGTAGTAGTTATATGGGAAAACGACAGCTCGTTGTCGCGCCGCTTCGTTGTCCGGTTACGTTAGTAGTGAAGACCAGCGACTTGGTACTCCCCGGTTGGTCCGTGCACCGCGGCGGCCAAAGCTGTCCTCCGATCCGACTATCACCAAGTAGACCATCTATCATCCATCAACAAGCAACCTCCAGAACACACTATCCATTCCACTTCCCCCGCACGCGCATTTCCGCAATCCTCACACAATGGCGGATGACGAAGAGCGCATCAAGGCTGAGAAGCTAGCTGCCGCGAAGAAAAGGGTACGCATATCCCTTATGAATGCACATTAGCTACCTACCTACCCCCGGCCCATGTACCTATCCTTTGCCTGTCTATAGAGACGGCACACTCAAGCGCCGCGCGACAAACATACTAACCGGACGGAATAATAGGTAGCCCAGCTCCAAAAACAGAAAAAGAAAGCAAACAAGAAAGCCGCCAGCGTCGATACCTCCAAAGATACCACCCCCGCTGCTGCTGCTGCCGAGTCCTCAGAACCAGCCAAGGAGGATGCGCCCGCGGCGTCATCTCCGGAGCCTGCGCCTGCACCGGCTACAGAAAAGGAGGGAGGGGAGGAAGGTGCTAGTGCTGCGCCGGAGGTAGAGGAGACACAGACAGAGAAGGCGACAGAGCCAGAACCGAAGACAGAAGCTCCAGCCGAAACCACCACATCGGAGGAGAAAGCAGAAAAGAGCGAAGACAATGAACAAGAACAACCCCAGGAGGAGAAGAAGGAAACCGAAGTCCCCGCAGCAGAAGAAGAAGAGACCGAGCCTATGCCCGATGCACCCACATCGCCTGGTCCCGAAACCCCCGCGCAACCCGCCATGAAGCCCGAGTCATCCGGAAGAGCGTCAGCGCACGGTCGACAGCCCTCTCTATCTATCCAGTCGAAGATGCGCTCATCGTCGTTCCGGAAGGGGTCCGTGTCGCAGGGGAGCAGTGGATCGCCGTCGCCGGCGGCGAGTGCAATGCTGAAGTCGCCTTCGTTGCCGCCGTTGAGTGCGGATGGCGAGGCGGTGCAGGAGGTGTATCGGAAGCAGTCCACGCGGATTGAGGAGTTGGAGAAGGATAATAAGCGGTTGGAGAGGGAGTTGGAGGAGGGGAAGGGACGATGGAAGAAGACGGAGGAGCAGTTGGAGGATCTCCGGGAGGCTAGTGTGGATGTTGCAGAGTTGAAGGTGAAGTTGCAGGATGCGGAGGCGAAGGTGGGGGAGATTGAGGAGTTGGTGAGTTAACCTTTGATCTCTACATGGTCCTGAAGGCTATTGGGGACTTTTAAGACTAACGGTCTACTGGGAATGTAGAAAGCAGAGATCGCATCCCTGCAGAGACAAAACTCACATCTACAAACCCGCACGCATCGGAGCACCGCCAGCGTCTCTGTGCCCGGCCCATCGGAGTCTCCGCCAGCGGACCTGGTGCAGCAATTAGAATCCAAGTCCGCGACTATCGAAGCGATGGAGTTGGAGATCTCAAACCTGCGCGCACAGCTCGCATCGAGCAGCGCACACGAGGCCCAAATAGCAGCACTCGAAGAGAAGCTCTCCGGCAGTGAATCCGCGCTCGAGAAAGCCCAGCGCGAGCTAACCGACACCAAGAGCGCGCTGACCCGCGCCTCAGAAAAGGCCGTCAAAGAGGGCGTGGACAAGACCTCCACGGAGACACTAATCAAGAACCTCCAGCGAGAGCTCGAAGAGCTCAAACAAGAGAAGATCACAACAGACAAAAAAGCCGAGACCCTCGAAAAGAAGCTCGAAGCCATGGGCAACCTACACAAGGAATCCGAAGCCCGGCATCAAACCCGTCTCCGCGAGACCGAGAAGATCGAAAAAGAAGCCTCAGTCCTCCGCAAACGACTCGCAGACGTAGAGAACGAGAACCTCCGCCTCAAAGAAGAACAAGAATCCCTCCGTAAACGACACGCCACCGACCACGGCAGCGCCGGCGCCGACGACGACGCCCTCGACGAACTCGAAGACGAAGAACGCTCCCGTCTGCACCGCCGCATCCGCGACCTCGAAGGCGAAGTCTTCGACCTCCGTCGCGGCGTCTGGAAAGAACGTCGCGAGGAACTTGACCATGCCCATCACCTCCACTCCCCAGATACCTCCTTCCCCCATGCATCCTCACCATCTGCCGCCACAGCAGCAGCAGCAGCAAACACCTTCGACGACGTCGACCTCATCGGCGGAACTCCTGACCATGCCCGTCGTCGCAGCATGGCCGCCAACAACCACAAGTCCCAACAGCAACAACACTCCTCCTTCTCCACAGTCCTATCCTCCGGACTCGCCGCCTTCACTGGCGGAAACACCTTCTACGGCGGAGCCAGTGGTAGCGGTAGCGGTAGTGTTGGTGCTACCCGCGGCCGCGCTTCCTCAAACCAGCAACACCATCAGCCCGCCACACGGGGTAGTCTGGAGCTCCTTTCCGAGGAGAACTTCGAAGATGAGTTCGATGAGGCGGAGTTTGCGCGCGCGCAGGCTGAAGAGGAGGCGCGGAAGAGGGTCGAATGGGTGCGCGAGATTAAGAGGAAGCTTAAGGATTGGCATGGTTGGCGGTTGGATTTGGTGGATAGTAGAGCTGGCGCTGAGGGGGCGGGTGTGGGCATGGGGGAGATTTTTCAGATTTAGAAATTTTACCTTCCCTCCCTTCTGCTTTATCTTTCTTGCCTTTGAAGGTTAGGTTAGTTTTGTTTTGTTGTTCGAATGGGAATGATACCGTGGGTAGGGTCGGATGGACTTTTGCGTTGATGAGAGCGGGTTAGTTTCTTTTCTAAGTTCTCTTATAGTATACCGGGACGGGCGTGCATTTGAGTGTAGATGTGTGTCACGGTTAGGGAGACATGTACTTCTGTCGACGTGCTAGGTTCTGGAATACAAGACACGGATGCAAAACGAGATGTATAATATGCAACGCAAAACACATATCTCTTTATCTAACTATTTAGTTTCCCTCGTATTCTCACAAGAGATATACACAATTCGAGACAAGGACTTAGGCATAGACAAAAGATGATAATGCTAATAACAAAGTTGATGATGATGATGGAGATGATGGAGATAATCTAGTCCTCCGCGTAGTGCTTCCCTGTAAGCACACCCTCTGACTTTCCTCTACCCCGTTTCCGGTTCACCAGTTCTCCAACCCACCCGGAGATCTGATACACCCAGCCTCCCGTAACCATAACGCCCGAGACGGTGTTGACGAGTCTGATCAGCAGCGAGAGGAAGCTTGTCCGCTCCTCGCTGATCATCAACAGGATCGGCTCGATGTTGTACTTGAAGAAGATACCGGGGATGAAGTAGGGGTTCTCGGGCAGCTCCTGGGCTTGGGTGGTGGCAGCGTATTGGTTGGTGAAGACGAGGTTCCTGTTCCTGTTGGTGGCGATGAGATCCGGGTGGTTGGTGTAGGTGTCGAGGGCGCTGGCGCCCTTGGAGTAGAGGGTGGGGACGACGGACAGGAAGTATTGGTACTTGTAGTAGTGGGTTTCGGTGGTGGCGATGGTTTTATCGAGCGGGTTGAGGAGAGTAGGGTAGTGAGGGCCGAAGGAGAGTTCGGTGACCATGTGGGAGAAGTTGAAGACTGGTAATGGGCATGTTAGTTGACTGCGTTTCTATCTCGAGATGGAGGGGTGACAACGTACCTCCATGATCCAGATGTTCTCCAAAGTTCCTGTATCCATGTCCGCGAGCTGTGATATGGAAGTCACCCTGGACCTTGTTGCCCTCCAAGCTGCCGTAGATGCGACATGAGTCGACGGTATCGCCGCGCCTCAGCCTGGGTCCCTTGGCGAACTTCCGGCGCGGGTTCTTCCTCACTTCACCGAGGACGTGGTGGACGTGTGCGTCGGCTTCGCGCGCAGAGATCCGGTCTGAGTCTTCCTGGCTGAGGGTTTGGTATTCATGGACGCCGCCGGAGGTTTCGCGGTTGCGCTTGTCCATCCAGAGTTTCCAGCTGGTGCGCTCGCGTTGGAGCAGATCGCCGGCGAGGATGCGGTCGCCAGAGGCATCTTGAATGTTGACGTCGAGGGTGTCGCAGGGCATACGGACAACGAGGTCAAGGTTCAGTTGTAGGTCATGGCCGACGCCCTTTTCGACGCTGAAGTGGTGGTTCTCGGAGCCGCTGAGCCAGGTGCGGAATTCTGAGAAGGTGAAGACTGTGCAAATGACGAGAATGAGGACGGTCCATTGTCCTCCGCGGCGGGATGGGGCAGTGTATGAGGGTTTTGTTTTGGCTGGATGAGCAATGCGATGTTAGTTCGAAGTGTAGCTGGCTGGTATGGACCGGGCAGTATATCCATGCGCGGCTTTTTACTACAAGGCTTGGGCCATAGTAAACGCATGATTGTGGACATTGAAATGATCCATGGATACGGAGATCAACGTACGAAAAGCATCAAATGTCTTTAGGCCGCCCTGCAGCCCAGACTTCTCCCCGAATGCATCCTCGTCGAGGCCGTGCGATGCGAAGCCATTCATCACGAATGCGTGTCGCGAAGTGTATAACAATTTAACCGATCAAGGCATGAATAGGGGGAGGGTAGAAGAGAGTGAAAGGAAGGACAGAGTGTAATTTCGATGGGGAGATAGGGAGCGACAATCAATGGAGCTCAAAGCTCTCGTATAGAGGCCGAGGAAAGCAAGAGGAAGAGAGGGGAGCGGCGGAGGGATTGGCGAAAGGAAGCCGAAAGGCCAAGTAGTCCGGATTCCCCTTCAGTTGTTGATTCTTTCTCCGCAATTCCCCTTCCCGCCCTTATCGATAAGCCTTGATCATCCATGAACCATAACTACTAGCTAGTAGTTAATCAACTATAGTAGTATCATAAGAACCATAACTGCATACCAAACATGCCAAACCTCCAAATCATCCACTTCATTCCCCCGTCTCGCGAAGCATTTATCCTCAACAGCCCTGTGCATAGCATCACCGCAGTACCTCACACCCAGACCGCCGGCACCAACCACTGGTGTCTCTATCTCGCAACATCAGATACAACCTCCGTGTGCATCGATTGCCAGCCAAGTCATACAGTTCCAAGCACAGTCCTCCACGGTGGCTCCAAAGGATTCATAGCTATCTCAGAGCTTCCATATCTATGGGCACCGGATGCTCAAGCCCAGTTCAAGCTCCATGTTCCTCCAAACCTGAAGGTCAAGGACATCTACAATCTCCTCATTCAAAATAACCGCCACAAATACGAATTTGACTCTGCAGGTGTCGGATGCAGATATTGGGTTACGGACCAGCTTGGTTTGCTTCAGCATCAGGGGTTACTTGTCGATCCGGAGGAAGTAACAGCTGCCAAGAATGGACTCGTACTGTTGTGGCCAGATCAGACACCTCTGCCGCTGGATCAGGGGGCTTATTATCAGTGAGGGCTTGGCTATAGCCTGGAGAACGTAATTCACATCAAGAATTATTATTGGTACTCCGATCAATACTAAGCCATACAAGCAACCACTATTGTATACCCATGATAGCATCGTTTCCCGCTGGTTGAAGCTGGGAATAGATGACAGCGGGACTGTAACCAATACTAGCTTGCTACAAAATACTAGTAGATAACATCGTTACAGAAAACACAAATCCACAGGCGATATGCACGGTATATATGCCTATATGGTCTAAGTCATAACATCACGATCCTCCACCACTGGCACCATTCGTGTCACTGCCATATCTATGATGAGGGGAGGCCAAAGAATAAGAGACAACTGTACAGATGCTATTCACGCATCACCATCACATTTACCCAGACCCGCCCATGAACACGGAACACCGGCCATCAGGACCCGATCAGTAAGTAAGAAAAAAAAAAGATAGAGATAAGAAAGGCATATAAGGGGGGAAAGAGTGACAAAGGAAACAAATGCAGGAAGGGGAGTAGACAGCTCCCAGGGTCATGACAGGATTGGAGTCAACATGCTCGGAAAAGGGCTCTAAAATCGAAATGCAAATCATACGGAAGGCATGCAGATGCTCAATTAAGGGTATACCACGAACCCCTTGGACGTCCACCACACGGGGCCCATAACGGTTCAAAATCAATCATGACAACGGGAGACAGAACCGCCGATGCTTCCACCCGTTTATGCAACCTTGAAAACAAAACAAGAAACAATTATTATTACAGATATGCAAGAAGTGAAAATGGGGAGGGATGCGAAACCGTATGATACTGCCCACTTCATTTCGTCCTCTGTATGCAAGTTAATGACCGGCTCGTGGCGTTTCGTCGGGCTCTTCGGCACTTACCAGGCTGGTCGCAGCCGCCGCCGTCGCGAGGTCTGGCTTGCCACTAATACTCCGGGCTGCAACGCGAGGTAGCGCTGAGCCAGGAGTACTGGTAGTGCTAATGCTAGTCCCTCGTTTGGCGGGCGTCGACGGTGGTAGTCCACTCACAGTCGAATGGCGTTTACCCGCAGGTAGCTTGACTGGAGAGGTTCCCGAAGCATCCCGGTTGCGGATCAGCGTGCCGGATTTGAGGCTGGTCACAGGAGGTTCCGGCAGAGGCCGGCCGGCAGAAGGGTGAGAAGACGTCGTTGCCCGCTTCGCAGGAGATTGCGTCGTCAGTGTATAGGTTCTTGCTCGGGACGGCATCTTCACCCCCGTAATGAATTCGTGCCTCAATGCGTCCTGTGGACTCATACGGCGGCTGGGATCCCATCGAAGACAACGGGAAATGAAGTCGAGGAATGCCTCATCGTCACATTTCAGGACCTGCTTGAGCTCCTTGGAGCTAGGACGACGTCGTCGACCCTTCGAAGAGACTGTAAGTCTCGGCTTGCCCAGCGAGTCAAAGAAGAGTTTCTTCCGAGTGCTTTTCTCAATCAAGTGCTTCTCTGGAGGTCCGAAGACCTCCATGATGCAAGCAAGCTGTTCCTGCTCGTTCTCTCCGGGGAAGATGGGGTATCCGGTAAAAAGCTCTGCCAGAATACAACCAACACTCCACATATCGATGGGCATACCGTACGACATGCCGAGAATGACTTCCGGAGAACGGTAGAATCGACTCTGAATATAAGTGTACACCTTCTCATTCTCAAAGCAGCTGGATCCAAAATCGATGACTCGGATCTCAGAGCTCATTGGATGCACGAGGAGGATGTTTTCTGGCTTGAGATCACAGTGAATTACCTTCTTGTTGTGTAGAAGCACCAGTGTACCCAGCATCTGCTTCGTAAAGCGACGAATCAGTTTAAGAGAGAATCCCTTGAAGTCGTGTGCCTTGATAAACTCGTAGAGATTCATTCCGAGCAGCTCAGTCGAGATGCAAAGATGGCCGCGAAAGTAGAAGCTTTGGGTGAAGTTCACAACGCTGTGTTTACGATGAGGATCCCATTCCTTCAGCTTCTGGAGAAGATTGACCTCAATCAACGCTTGCTGATGGAATCTCTTCTTATTGCGGATAATCTTCACGGCAACCAAGCCGCCTGTCTTGTGATCGATGCATCTCACCACTTGACCAAAACTACCCTTGCCCAGAACATCGATAACCTCGTATCGGTAGGCCAAATGGTCTCCAATAACAATATTATAGTCGCCACGGTCGTCATCGTAGCCAAAGTTCGCTTGCGCAGTCAGATCACCAACATGCTTTTTCGCATTCTGGGTCCCGCAAAAGTAAATATCCTTGAAGTCGATAATCTCTCCACGCTCGAAGATGTTCAGACTGGCGACCCGCAGAGCTTGGGCCGGACTGACACGCTCCTTGGGACTGGCTTTGCGGCGCAAGTCATCCAGATTCCTAGCCGCGGTCTCAAAATCTTTACGCTTGCTTCCAAGCCGTCGCATTTCCTCATCAGCCACGCGTATATCGGCGTCTACATTAGACTCCGTGGGAACTGACGTGGCCCCGACACTCGACTTGGCCGAGCTAATAATCTTGTGTACAGGCGATAAGATCGACGCCGCTGAGCGGTGCGCTACCACATCACTATCGCCTGACTCATTGGAAGGACTTGGCTCCAGCGCGAGGCTCTGATCGCTGCTGAAGCTAGGGTTCCTCATCGGCTGGTTGGTAGCGGTAGACATCGATGCTTGTCGCCGTGATTTGAGATAGGACGGCTTGAGCGATGGGCTAGAGGTACTCGCTGTTGACATATTACTCCAAGTTGCAGAGGCTGGGAGCTTCGGTGGGGGCATCTTTTCATGTTTTATAGGGTCGCCATTTGACTCGGGCCCCTGCTGGGGCTTGGAACTGCTGCGATTCCGAGTGAAGGTGATCTTACTGCGGAGGGAGGAGCCCGACACGCTGTTGTTGTCGGGGTCAGAAGGAGTCGAAAGCTGACTGATGGTCTCGGCATTGGAAGAGAAGGCGGATGATCGTGTTTGGGGACGAGGCCCGGTGAGCTTGTGAGACTGTGTCACCTTGGGAGAGCAATCATCGGTAGCTTTAGTGCGCAAAGCTGTATAGTCGCTAGTGCTTTTCGGCAAGCTGTACGCGATGTATGGCGAAACGGTTCTTGTGCCGACAGAAATGTTGTCAAAAGCCGCCAGCGCACTAGAGCTGCTGGCCGTCCGAAGAGCCGCACTGCCTGATGATGTACTCAAGGCGAAATGCGACGTGCTACTTCTAGCCTGGGTAAGTGGCACTGCATCCTCATTGTCCTGCGGTGAGAAAAAGTTTGCCTTGGAGGCGGTTAACGGAGTACTGGGGGTTTTGGACAGAGTCTGTGCCGAAGGCGTGTAGGATTTGACGTCATCATCCCGGTCCTTCAACGCCTCGATCTTCGTCGTCATTGGGGTACCCAGAGGAAGTAAATTCAACGGCGGTAACTTTAAGGGCTGTAAACTCTTTTTCGCCAGCCCGGCGGATGGCTTGGCTTTCGCATCCGGTGTTTTCAAAGCTCGCTCGTCATTGGCTCCATGTGTATCATCTTCGGTCGCACTTGCTGTTTGATTCGTGTCTGAGTCTTGTTCTACCTTAGGCTTGGGTTCGACGTCCAAGTATAGACTTGGCTTTCGGGGGGTAACATAATTTGGTGGGTCAAAATCGCCTTTGGGTGACTCGTACGCCTTTGGAATTGCAGGAACAGGCGGAACCTCCTCATCAGCCGCCGCATGTTCCATACGAGGCTTGGGGGTAGGCAAGCGTGACGTGGATGAAGACTGAGATAGCCTGGTCTGCAATGAGCCCCCCGAGTTCCTTGCGGAGTTGTAGCTGGTGTTTGATGATAGAGATAAGCCAGAGCTATAAGATTTCCGATTTGGGTCAGGCGTAGTACGAGTAGACGAGGGGGTTACACTGCTCTTTCGAGGAATATGCGAAGGAGATTGCGCAGTGGACCTAGGACGAGTAGGCATGGGCTCTGTCTGAGTCGGAGGGGTAAACGGTGCTTGTTGCGCCGATGGCACCGTAGACATACGCTTAATTCGTCGCGCATCAGTGGGGCTTATGGTCCGAGCCCCTAAGCCAGTAGCATGTGGCGGCATGACCGAAACCCTTTTGGATGAAGATGATGGAGTTGCCATGGGAGCTGCCGCGTTCTTGACTGGAGTTCGAACAGCGTTTGTGGAACAAGAACGAGAATGCTCCGCAGGGCCAGATGCTGTCAGGTAGGTCTCTTGGGGTTCCCTCAATGGCGGTTGCAGCGACTTGGCTTTGATGCTCCGGGAAGTGCTAGAGAGTTTCGTGCCATCCTGTTGTCGGG